GTAGTGAAGATAGCTGCTTATAAGATAAGGTCTGAAATATATGCTACACCTCATAATACTGCCTAAAATTTTCCTACATCTTAGTTTAGTGGAATCAGCTCTGCCTGGTTCTATGGTAACCTGAAAATAAACTGCATCAGTTTCTGAAGTCAGAAAAACCTGAGCCAGACTCGCTCAAGCAAAAGGAGGAGAGGGTTGGGGTAGGACTGGGCTTTATTTCACCGAGGGGCACAAAATTGGCAGGAACTGTCTCCACAGCTTATTGACGAATGAAATGAAGAACGGGAGGGAGAGAAAGCTGAGACACAGAATGCCTGGAAATAAATGCAGTGTGGAAACATGATAAAGAGGAAACTCCTGTGGTGCTCGTCTCTCTATTTTTGTTCTCTCTCCCCTTTTTTTCCTCCTTCTCATGTAATAAATCAAAATGACTTCACACCATTTTCCTTTTGTTCTGTCTGATGCGCTGGTACTTTATTGACCAGATTGACGGGTTTTACTGCGTATTTCTTCTCTATTTCTTCTTTCCTGTTCTTTTTCTTTTATTTTAGATCTTGTTCCTTCCCCAACGCTTTTATTTCATTCTTCCTAATACTTTCATTTTTAGCTGCTTCTCAATTTCTGCACTATTTTTCCCCTTTTTTGGCATGTCTGTCTTTCTTTTCTCTCCTCTTGATCTATACCTTTCCTTTTCTTTTCCTTTGCACTTCCCTATCTTTAATGTAACCCTTTATTTTCTCAGCTGTATCAGTATTTTCTCCCTTAAGACCCCTTCAACGATTTGGCCAAGGACCTCTGGAATTGGCTGTCTTTGAATGTATTAAGAGCTCTCATGAACGAATACACGAGGATCGTTTAGGTAACGCAATCAACTTCCCAACAAAGGGCTTCACCTTTTATTTCACATAAAGATCTCATAGCAGAAACCGAGACAGAAAAATTAAGAGGATATTAGACTAGAAGGAGAATGCCAATCCTTTATATGGCAAACCATTTGGGAAGTCCTTTATAAAGCTTTTAATAAATATTTCTATTGCCTGTCTTTGCACGTCCTTCCTCTTATAACGAAGTCTTTGTCTCTGTTCAGCTCTCTTCCATGCCTGCTCACACTGCACTGCCCATACTCCACTTGAAAGGACCCGTCACTCTTCTGCCACAAAGGTACCGACGCAAGGCCCCTCGCACAGCTGGGCACCAGGTATCTGCTCCCTCTTGCATGTCTTTTGCACAACAAAAAGAAAAGCAGCACTTATCCTGGAGAGATGTTGCACAGATCAGCTTCTTCCTCCTCATTTAAACCTCCTAACCTCTCCCTGCACACAAGTGGCTGGGAATGCACCGCTTCACTTCCAAGTGACTCTAATGAGCACGCCACCCCGAGTGTACATTTTCAAAACAAAAAACTGTTCCAAAAGAGGGCAATGAGAGCGCTTCCTTCATTAAAATCACAACACTCTGAACTGAAGGAGCACACTCCAAGCCACTTTGATGCCAAGGTAGCAAAGCCAGCTTCAATCCGTGCATATAAGGGATGTGCAGGAGATTAGCCAGATGTTCAATTGCTCCTCCTAAGAAACTCCATGATGCACTAATATGCCTGTAATTGCATGAGTACTGTTGGGTACATACCAAATAAAATACAAAAAATACTGATTTGCGCATTGGAAATCTGCATTTCTACTTACCTGGGCAATACTTGTATGTAAATATTATGGCATTCTCAGACTAACTTTGGAAAACTGAAATTCTTCCAAAGATAACATAAAACATTTGATTGCTCCCACCTAAGCATTTTCTTGAAGAAAAAAAAAAAAAGAAGTAGATATAAAGACTAGAAGAAAGTTTTAGAGTAAGGTTTGTAACGCACTGTAGGATTCAACTGACTAAATTTAGGACATCACCATTTTTGATGTTTATGCCTGAACTGCTCATTCTGGCTGCCTCTATGGCACCTGGAAGGAGACACCTGCACTGGTGGCGTGTGATTGCTTCATCCTGGGGCAGATGTCTAAAAATGCCTATTTCTCTCCACCGGCTCTACAGGAGAGCCAGATGTGAAAAGCTCTTTTTCCGTATCAGAAGGGGAATGCCTGCACTTAGCTATATCTAATGGTAGGGCTGATGGATCCTCCCTGCAGAGTTAAAAGTCAGGGCGTACGTTCGTGTGCTGATACTAAAGCTGTGTTCCAAAACAGCCATCTCCAATGATCACAAGAATACAGAGTCTAAATAAAAGAGAACAGGAAAAAGACTCGACATTTCAGCCTTCGCTTTTAATAACTTTGGTTTTTCGGCTATGCGTTTATCTCGAGATATACTTTAAACTTATTTGAATAGACACATGTTGTTCTAAGGGCTGATCACCCTTGGAATGCGCGAAACACAGGAAAGAATTGATTTATTGAACTTAGGAAGGTAAAGATGCTACCGAAAAGCTAAATTTTCCAAATGTATTGAAGTCTTTGAGGGATAATGCATACATTTATGCAAACTGATTCCTTAATATTCAATCGTCTATGGTCTCACTAGTAAGATGGAAATGAAATTTTAAAGAAATAATGCTATTTTACAATGTGATAAAAACTTGGGGTTTCTATTTTCCAAAGTGTGTTTTAATTCTGCTGGTTCAGTTTTATGGCCACAAACACCAGCACCTACCATAAACTGACTGGACAAATAAGAACTACTGTATGTATGTTGACATACTGGTTTTCACTGGGTGCCCAGTTGCAAACAGTTATGCCTGCAGTATTTCTGTGGCTTGGGGTGTTTGCGGGTTCATAATTACACTCCTGAAATTAGGAGCTGGGTTGGATCTTGGCTGAAAATACCTCACACAACACATTCTATTTACACACTGCATACATAGAAACACAGTCACATTCTCTGACTGTATCTGTTTATCTGGATCAGCTTGAGACCCTGATTTTCTTCTATGTACCATTCTTTTATGTTCCTATCTCAATTCATTGCAGCACCTCCTTATCAAAAGACGAAGTGACGCTACAGAATCAAGTAGTGTTGAGCATCACAAAAGAAGACACAAAAGCCAAAGCAGTCCTTTTCAGTTCTGATCTTCCCTAATATCTGTTTTCTTTCCTAATACATGGAATTATGCTGGCTTTGGTTAGGTTTATAATATAACTGCCTACACCTTTCTGGACCAAAATACAGCTTTCTACACCTAATATGTTTGCCAGGTTAGAAGAGCCTACGTATTTACTACCATATGTTATTATATTTTACTACACTTTCCACTACATACTTAGTAGTCTTTTTGAGTATAAAAATGATATTCAGATTTGGTGTCTATATCCCACCTTAGAGGTAAGCCTAAAATACGATACAAATACAGTTAAACATATTAACTCTAAAGGAGCAGTACATTATATTTGTAGATTTTCAGGCACACTTTCCAAAGTGGCCTCAGGAACTGGAATTCTGTGTAAGATGAAGTAATTATTGTCCCAATTTTTACCGTTTAAGTAAGGTCTCCTGCTTCTGGCGTTGCATTAAACTGAAGAACAGTGCGCCACCTAAGATCTATTAAGTAATATATGTGAGCTGAGGGCAGGAACCTCTTTAATGATGCAAATCTGCTCAGAAAGACCCTGTCTGAGCACTGAGTAGGCAAGCAGGTACTCTTATCTTTTGGAAATAATTTTGAAAATTTGTCCCATGCTTATACATATTCACTTTAAGCACAAACAAGAAGTGGGTACAGTTTGATTGCTCGCAAAGCCCCACGCTTCATTTATCAATTCATTTTTTCAGTTAAATTATGTCTTGTAAAATCTTATGATTGTACACACACCATATAAACAGCATGGAAAAATATTTCATTTTCAAAGCTTGCAAAGGCATCTCTTGAAATGAAACCGAGTTCTGGTCTTCCGCCAAAACTCTCCAGTTGATTCACACACAAAACTTCAACTCCGCTTTAAAAGAAATAGCCACAGGTATCCCCAGTTTACGAAGTATCAGCTACATTTCTGTGTCTAATAGTTGAAAAATCAGGTAAAGTCCCTGTTTCCCTACTAAGAAGGATCCAGACATCGTGGAGTAACAGCTAATGGCTTCAAGTTTGCCCTTACAGTAGAATTCTTTTCCACCTGTAACTTCTTTCAGAGAATAAGTAAGTACCATATTTCTCTCATTTGTCTTTTCCTTTCCTGCTAAATGCTGTGTTTCACAACACTTGAAACGCTGGTGAAATGTATTCCCAGTTCTTAAAGAGGACCAAGCATGAAATCAACTCCACCTCACTGGTGGTTTTGCAGAAGTAAAAGCTTAACAGGAATGGCAGTATTTGAGGCTTAGGTCTTAGGAAACGATGTAAATAGCTTTCCCATTTATCATGTTTAAATCTCACAGATTGCAGTAATGAACTGAATCCCTTTTAAAGGCTTTTCAGTTCACTTTTGCAATCTGGCTGGAATCTAGGATACTCCACATGAAGTCCACCTGTACCTCTCGCACGCATCAGTCGTACCGAAGCCTGCACACACATGCCAACAAAACCCGATCAGTAAATGGTCAACGACTGGATGGAAGAATCCAAGATTTACACTAGCGAGAGCAGAATCAGACCTATCACACCTAAGACAGATATGATTGTCAGCAGTAAAATGGCAAATATTTTCAACTGCATGTGCTTGCAGGTAGGGCAAATGATTATTGCTTGTATCTTGCAGGAATAGTTTTTCTTCTCATAGCAACACAGTATTTTCCAGTGGACTTTACCTGGTAGGTCACGAAATCCTTTGCGGTCGTGCGGAGTGTTAAATCTCCAGAGCTATACAGTTTCACACAGACTGGCTCTGAAACTTTAATCTTGTTTTCTAGGTATAAACACTTCTGATAATAAGAGAAATATGAACAGCAGTGTATGAACCCAAACAATAATGTGTACTGAATTAAAATGTTAGCTTCATCCCTTAGACACAAGGCACAATTTATTGTCTTATCATATGATCAGAACAACAGAGCATGCAGTTTGTTTATGCACCACTGACCTCTAAAGAGCTCATGGATATTGTGGATCCAGTTTCGCTTCTTGATAATCCTGCATTGTCATCCAGCTCCGAGGCAATGAAATTCTTCACTGCTGTGCGGGGCTCAAATGGCAAACTCTGCATATGTTCTTGGGGGGGAAGATGCTGGTCTAAATTGATATTAAACTGGTCCATTACAGAGGGATTCATATTGAACTCTGGATTAACTTTGTAGTGCAACAGCCTTTCATGAGGCAACGTATCCATGCCTATATTCATTTTGCTCTCGTCTTTCAGTGATGGCTGGGTATTCACCGAGCCCCGGGGCATGACGATGTAGTCGCTTTCTATCATCCGTTCTTGAGGATGGACGATGTCCATATCGGCACCTCTCAAATTGTCATCAGTGCATAAATACACAGTCCTCCGCAACTCGCTGTTGTCCTTTTTCAAGCACTGATTGGCCAGTTCACTCATACTCATGGGCATGTGGAGCCCCGTTGGTTGCTGGATGATGACTTTGGAGATGATGTTTCCAGGCAAGGTGGAGTAGCTCATTCCTTCAGGGTTTGGTCCCTTCTCCTCCTCTTCATCGTTCAGTGAGATTCTAGAAAGCGTCCCTGTGATCGTAGCGGCTCTGCAAGGTCCAATGTCTTTGTGCAGAACTGTGGGTCAGAGAACAGAACTCTTACAACATGAAGCCGTGTCTGCCTAACACTGCTTTTTGTTATGGCTTTATTTACCAGTGCTCTCTTTACCAATGCATTTTCTTAACTCTGTTTCTATTTGTTTAGTAACACTTTTTTCTATAAACACTGCTTTAGGAAGGTTTGATTTTTATTGTTTTTTAGTCAATATCTCTTAATCTACTGCGTATAACTGAAACAGGCCTCTGACTACGCCTCAGTCATTTATATAAATTATAAACACCCCTTCATTTATTCCTGTTGCCTTACACAGATCTTAGGTGATCTGCAGCTTCAGCAAAAGCCTGCCATGTGGAATTTGATTAAGGGTTTTACCCAAAATACACTCTGACATCTGTACTGCCATTATTAACTCTGCATAACCTCCTGGAAAATGTCAAACAGATTGTAAGGCAGAATCGTTTTGTCAATCCATTGTAATGACCTACCATAACTTATTATAACCATGAACACGTGTTCCTGAGCTCCTAAATGTTCCTTCTCACTGACTCTTGTCTTCTGTGTGAAATTGTTTTTAAAATAAACGTGACAAAAAAGTAACCACGTTGGGAAGAAATTCCATTGGTATCAGAAAGACATGTTTTGCTACATCTGAAAAGGTTATAAAGAATATAAACATCTCTTAAAATGGTAATAATCCACTTCTGGTGGAGGCCTAGGCCTTCCTGCTCAAACTTGTACCAGCATCCAACAATTATTTGTTGGGGTAATCTCTGCATGTCAAAATTATTAATTCTGTCATAGGATACAAAATTTATAGGAGAACTGAAGGATGTATTCAAAAGCAAAGCATCTGGTCAATCACAATTATTGGTCTTAAAAATTCAACATCTGTGATGAAAGAAAAAGGATAGAAAGTAAGAAAAAAATAAAGTAACCAGCTTCTGGGGTTATGCCAGCTAAATGTCAGGAGTTTTTTGTCCCAGTTGAAAATATTTTCATTCACACCTGTATTAGTTTGTGCAATAAAAGCCAGCTCGTGCATTGCAACGGTAAGAAAACCTGAAGTATCTCAGGTGTTACATTTACATCCCTGCTGGTACCCAGCTCTGCTGACCCAGATCCCCTGATACCTGTCAGTGCTCTACCATGTTCCACTCATGAGGGATGGGAGGCTCATGAGGCATCTCACTCTCCTAAATCACATAAAACTCTTGCCTTTTCCCATTATTTTTCACAGGTGGGTGACTGGAAACTCAAACTTCACCTCAATGAGAGCAGTCTTCTTGGGTGCCCACCAAAGAGACACAGTGTCCTCCAGGTGGGTGACCCAGAAGAGCCCATCCTGTGCAGAGGACACCCCACCTCTCCTTATTTCTTCTCTGGAAACTGAGGGTGTCTAGGCCTTCCTAGAAAAAACTGTCCTTTGGGAACATCGCCTAGATTAAAAAATTTCTATAGGGTTTAAATAGAATGCTCATCTGTTTTATATTGTACTTTATTTAAGCAAACAAATTGCTTAAAATGTGTTATTTTTAAAAGGAGAAAGAGAAATAGCTGACTGATTAAAGAGTACACTACTGAAATGTTTTTAAAAACCCAATTTATTCCAGTAAAATGGAATAAAACTTCATTTTCCTTATATCATGTTGCTTAAGCTGTCACTTATAGTCCTATAAACTTTATCATCTTTAAAACTAACACAAATTGATGCATTCTTCATATGCATACTGTTAAAATTCACTATATATATATACACACACACACATATATATATATATTATATATTTTATATATATAGCAAATTTACTGCTATCCATTTGCTTGTGTACCTGGGCAAGGAAAGTTTTGAGTGTTAAGACTGATCTTCTCTCCAAAACTATTTGCCTTCTAATAAGACAACCACACCTTTGGCTGCTTCCCAACTGCTGGGTTCTAGTAAAAGGCTTTTGTAAGAAAATGAAATAAATGTGTTTGTGCAGTGCCATCACTTTTTAATTTATATTTATAAATATGTCCTGTAAACAAGTAAACCCTGATATTTGTGATGGTTTTCACTTCACAAACTAAGGTACAAGATTTCTTTTAGTTGGCTAAAACACTCTCTCGGTGTTCTTACCTGACCGACAGGCAATGTCCACATCCTTTTCAAAATCAGTCTGTAACAAGAAACAACGAAACAGGACAAGCATTATTAACTGAAAACTAACCCACAATACCTTTTTGCCAACTAGCGCTTCCAAAATGTCCTACTTACAGAATCACAGTCTCTTAAAAGTGGTTTCTTGTTGCTGAGAAGGTGAAGTGTACTGTTTTACAACAGCAGAGCTTTACAAAGTTTCCTAAAGTATAACTGGGTGGTTTTCAAAGTATGCTGCCTGACCAGAAATAATAAAATAAAATAGGTGGAAGTAGAGTATTTAATCTTAATAAAACGATGCAGTGTATAGTGTTTGCTGTATATGGAAGAGTAACTTCTACCTCTCATTGAAGGATCGTCTTTAAGGAAGGTTGTCATAGTAATTTTATAAACAGAAGTATGGAAAACAGCCTGCAATACAAATTACTGTGAATAAGCGTAACCCAATTAGTCCACCCTACTGAAACTTCATTAATTTGTTATGAAGTGGTTATTTGTTACATAAAATTCTGTCCATTCTTGCTACTAATGGAATCACATAAACTTTGTGCTCCCTGAAAACAATTCTTATTTATCTCATCAGGCAGAAACAAACTGAAAGAGCTAAGAATTAATGTTAAAAGTTAACAATCCAAGCACACTTTTCCCAGTTAAACAAAACTATTAATCCTGTTAGACAATTCAAGCAATCTTAATGATGTTTTTATTTCCAAAGTGCTTATTACATGAAAAATGTTTAATAAAACTGACGTCTTTCTTGCTTGTGAAGTCCATCTGCTTGCTGACTCTTGCATTTCCTTAGGGCCTGATCCTGTCCCCATTACAGTCAATGACAAACTGTCATTGAATGTGAAGGCACCAATATTTTGTCTTAATACAAGCTTTTTTTTTTGTCTTAATACAAACTTTACAACCCATAGTAAATCCAGGTTGGCAACCTGAGCCATTTGCTACCTCCTTAATTCAAGCCACCAAATAGATTCCCCTTCCAAAACCTCCAGCACTTCCTCCTTATCTGACTCACTTTGGGAGGAACATTTCTCAAGGCCCCATGAAGGGAAGAGTCTCAAACGCATCGGAGCTCTTTACACTAACAGCAGCAGAAGTCACCATAAATTATTACTTTCTTATGCCTTATGCAAGACTCTTTTGTCATAGAGGACACTGGCGGAGGATACGAATTCACTGTGCTCCACTAAGTGGTCAAAACAATAATTTAAAACTTGCTAACAGATTTAAGCAAGCAGATAATGACCTAAATAGACTTAAGTTAAAAAATGGTGTTCATATTTCAGCTGTGCATGCTTGCCACGTACAATACTGTTTTTCTTTTTGGATAGGAACACTAAATTAAAAGTCAAAGAGGAAAACAGAAGCTAACCATGATCTGAGCATGTCCATTAGGAAAAGAACTTGAAGAATCTGCATTGATGGGATCCTGGCAATTTCTCAGTCGACATCTGAATGCATCTTGAACCTGTGAAAACAATATCTTATACTGATTCTTGTGCAACATCACATACTCTGCTCCTGTTAAAGATTAAATTAAGCTGTATGGAACACAATGCATGACTTTTCTTTAGCATACTTAATAAATCAGGGTAATAAATTAAACATAAACGCTTATTTCTGCCATCTCATACATTTGCTATATTTTGTGGCTGCTGCAAAATCTGTCAGTCTATCACATCAAGACCACGGAATGAGCTTTTCCTATTAATTAACCAGTAGTCAGTGATGATCTGGCACTCAGGTGAAGTCGGTCTTAGATGACAGTATTTGGCTTTATCTTCTCATTCAGTTTGGTACATGTCTGATAACAGGATTAATAGATATAATATTAGCTATTGCAAAATAAAACATATCTTCTGCTTGATAAATGTAAGATTCTTGAAAGACAGTTCTTAACAGTTACTATAATCAAATACGTAGCTATACTTTAAAGAATAAATCAGTTTGAAAGATATTACTGATTCCCATCATAATCTCTACCTCCATGTATACCAAACCTCATGCCACCTTTTCTAGGGGTAAAACTCCTCAGACCAGGGAAACATCTTCAGTGTGAGCTCATGAAGAAAAGTGGACTCATTGCACAGAGTTTGGTTTCTTGAGACTAAACCCAAAAGGAACTTCTTAGAAATTACTGTTTACTAATATGATCCATAAAGGAAATTTGAAGACTTGTCCCTGAAACATAAGTATATTTGAGGAATTATCTTTTCATAGGAAAAGCTCTTTTTACGTTGATTTTGGATAGAAAGATGCGGTTCAACAGAGAGGCACATTCACAGGAAGAATGCAGTTCCTGTTTGCTGACAGCAGAATACAAACACATTTTGCTGCTTTCTCACATGGACCACAGTAAGAACAGGAAAAGAACTTTTGGAATGGAAAGGTTTAAAATGTGAATTTTGGTGCCAGAAATGCAGGTGTCCGTATCAGCAACCTGACTGCAAGACGTGACTTGGAAAACAGGAGCTTGGTTGGGTGATCTCCAATCAGAACCAACTGGTGTCATTACTTCTGTGAATATGAAATGCCTACAAAAATCTACGTTCCATTTATTATCTGTAGACATTACTTGATATCTTACTCAGAATAATTAGAAGGGAGAAAATCGCATCCTACTCATGGACATTTTGTGAACAGCAGAAGAGGGTAATTCATTAATTGTTGCTGATGAAAAGCCGTTCCCTTTCAATATATCGTACTCTACTGCAAGCTGTTCAAGAGCTTTAACAAAAGGGATAACAAAATAGAAAAAAAATATTTACTTCTGTAATTATAAAGCATTATTTTAAAGTGCTCAACCCTTAAATGAATGCTCTGCAGTCTTCATAAGTGACTGCTACAGGTGGAAGGTGGCTAATATAGAGCAGAAAGCAGAAGGAAGCAAGGTGGGAAGGTTTGGATTGACTTCAAAACACCGAGACTCCTGACGTGTGGTAATGTGAAATGTGCTTGACCTGTATTGTGACTCAGATTCGGATTTGAGGCACTACGCTTGCTGTGGTTTTCCATGTGTCAATTCAATTTGGCATCTCCCAGTCATTGCAAATTTAATCCAAGTCTTCTCTCACTTTTTCAACGCTGAAGTCAGGTTCTACTTGAGAGTTTTAAGCTCTTGGAGAAGCACTGGCACAGCCATATGACAAAAAAAATAGAAAAATCCCTTCCTCCACAGCATCCCCAGCTGTTCTGAATCCCGTCTCAAGCCTCATGATGCTTGACCCCAAAGCAGTATTACTTCAGAACACAGTGTGTGATTCCACTCTGTGCAGTAGGCCTCCTTATTTCTGGGACTCTGTGTCCATGAAGCTTCCCTAATTCAGACAGCTCAAGAATCTCATGTCCTACTTTCACTACCTTCTATATGAAAGTGGTGAATCTCGATGCTAGGATCCTCTCAAATGTGCGTGTTTCCTAGAATGTTTCTGCAGTGCAAGCAGCAGATGATTTGAACATGTTAACAGAATGTCAAATCCAGCTTTATCCATCAAATCGACATATGTTGCAACTTCTAGGTGCCCTCACACAACTCAGAAACAAAAGGGTTGAACTTTCTAAATACCGGCCTATTTTTCTAAACCGCTTGTTCAAGCTTGTTGTTTGTCTAGGTAAATCCTGCGCTGTCTTTACATTTTACACTGAAACATGATCGTGTTCTTTCCTCCTGCCTTTTAACATCAAGTTACAAGATTTTCTTAGAGGCAGGCAGAGCAGGAGACAGATGTGATGAACGTGCGGGTACCAGGGAAGTGGTTTCCTTAGCAACAGTAACCAACTCCAAGCTTTTATAACTTACCCTCTCCCTACTCGTGTACTCCTTATTTTTCTCCTGCGGTACAGAAATGTGGGCTTTAGACGCCAACGATGCATTTAATCCAAATGCTCTCTAGTCAGCAGAGCACAGCAAAAGCAGCAAATGCACGTGGGTTCCTCCCATCACCAGCATTAACAGGAGTTGCTCAGTGCGATTCAAATTAGCTTCAGAGCATCTCGTGTTCCAGCAGGCCAGGAAAACCGTTGTGCTCTGATGGAGACGCTTCAGCGGTAACCTTTCCTGTCACTCCCTGTCCTCTGACACATACCTCACCATCTTCCAATGCCCAATTAGGTATTTAAACAGCAAGAAGAGGTAAAAAAAATAAATACTAGGCTTTCTGGGCTGAGAAGGCAACATAGATCAGTAATACCTAATTCTTTGCCTTTTTCTTTCCCAGTTTCCAAATGGTGTATAAGAGGTCTCATGCTTAAGAAGTATTATCTTAGAAGCTAGGAAACAGGAGCATAGAAAGATTTAATGTCTTTCTAAAAGACCCTGAATTGATGGAGGGCAGAAATAGACACAAGGCAGCATTTAACTCTCTTCTAGTTGCACATACTACTTGGTGAATATCCCTGGCTTCCTAACACAGCCCTTGTCACGCAAGACCTTCAATAGAGCATACTAGAGAAAGTAGAGAGTGCTTCCATCGTTTATGTTTATATCGATATAACAAACGGGAAAAATGGGGGTTTTATATATACAATTGCAAAAGTCTGTGTCTTTTTGTAATGTAACGACAATAAAGGCATAGTAAAGCAGGGCTGTCCTCTTCTTTGTTTGGATTTTATGGTGATATATTCCACCCCATATTTTTTTCCCTGACAGTCAGAATTATTGTTTTGCCTGTGCTGGCATGCTATAAATATTCGATCAATCCTATAGGCTATAACTGAGATAGCTTTGTAGCTGTCATCAAGAGTGACAAATATGTTGGCAGGGTTTTCCTGACAGGCGCTGGCAGCACAAAATGCTTTTGCAGACAACAGAGAGCAACAGACTCTGCTTGCAGTGGGGAGATGTCCTGTGCAGAGCGCACTGTGCACCGTGGCCACTGCCTTGGCTTGTACTCGCCTACGGGTCTCTGGAGCTCGAAAGCCAGACCGAAACATAATTTACTGGGTTTATGTCTCTTTCTGTGTAGGAACTTGTTGCAGTAAGCAATTCTGTCTCTGCTGCTGCAAACTGGTCCATATATGTGCAGACCATGCACATTTTTTAAACAAAAATTGTTTCAAGTGCGTCAGCTTTTTGTTCTTTGCTGTTCTTGAAGAACTTTCTATTCATTATCTTTTCTTATATGATAAAAATTTCATTAATTATTTCCTGAAGTTTACAATTTAAGTCTGGAAGACTAAGGATGCTTCAATTTGTTCTGTCAAACAGAGATCAAATGCAGGATGCTTAGGCTTCGTTGTCTTCCACCACCCTCACTATCATCATCTTGACTGGAGATCACAGAATCACAGAATCACAGAATCGCTCGGTTGGAAAAGACCTCTGAGATCATCATGTCCAACCGCTCCTGTCTACCCACTAAACCATATCCTTAAGTACCTCATCTACCCGCTCATTAAATACATCCAGGGATGGTGACTCCACCACCTCCCTGGGCAGCCTGTTCCAGCTTCTGACGACCCTCTCAGTAAAGAACTTCCTCCTTATCTCTAACCTGAACCTCCCTTGGCACTGATAATCCCTTGGAGATAATGCACTGATTAGTATCCCTTGGATATCCCTTGGAGATAATGCACTGATTAGTAAATAAGTTGTCCCTGTACACTTAATGCTGCCTAAGTTGTCATCACTGGGGCAAAAAATCCTTCCCTTTTTTGGTATGGGACAACCTCATCAAACCTGGGTGCTTTTTGTGTCTCACCAGGAAATCTTCTCATGAAGTCATTTGTTAAAAATACCATGTAGGTAGGTTGATTGTTTTCTCAAATGCCTTTCTTCTAGAATTTCAGTGTTAGCATCGGGAGGTGTAAGTGCCAAGACTGGCTTGTGCGAACAACTCCTTTAGGTAGTTAAATGAAGTAATGACTCTTTGCAGTTAGATGAGACATGTGTATGTGATTTGCTAAAAGAGCAAATAAAATAAACCATAACTAGCTGATTGCCTCCACACAAACAACTGAAATTCTAAATTCCTATATAAGCATCTTTATAAGCAGATATTTTTGCATATTACTTGCACTAGGAACGGTGATTTAAAAGTGGTTCAATTTTAGGTATAGGCAAGACTAATTCCACCTCTATCACCACAGTCCTACCTGTGAGCACGGTCAGACAAGGACATTTCCATGAGATGTTCAGCAATATCGAAGCATTCCCTGGGAATGAAGCATTTGCAGCAAATAGCTGTCATTAGAGTAGGAAACTTGTCTTAAATTCAAGGCTTGGGGCATTGTGGAAAGATGCCTGTTCAACTTCATCTTAAGCAGTCAAAATATTTGTTTTCCAAATAAACTCCTGCATTACTGCACTGAGGCAGGCTTTAATGTCTGATTTTATTTTTTCTTTATTTTATAAAGTGCTTTACTATGTTACTTTTAGAAGTTCTCAAGGATTTTGGTCTGTTTTTTGAAAAAAAGAAAGCCTGATAACCAGGTGTGTGTTGCAACCTCTCTGCATCCTCACAAAGGGCACAGGGAAATGGAGTGAAGTTCAGGGGAAGTTCAGATTGGACATCAGGAGAAGGTTCTTCAGTAAAATGGCCCCTTCCAGTATGAAAGTTAACAAAACATGAAAAACAAAGGTTCATAGCCTCTAATAGATTGAATAAAGTGGAGTAGAGTCAGCACAATGGAAGGTGCGATTTTCTGCAAGATATTGATAAGCTTTTTCCTTACAAATTAGAAACTTAACTCTTTGATATGATGATCACACATGCATACTGTGTAGCCTAGCCATATAAAGTTCATGCTGGTTCAGGTACACTACTGAAAGACTGAAATAAATTCTGTAACTTATAATTCTTTTTCATGAATATGTTGAGTTTCAAATGTTTAAAGGGTGTGAATGGCGGAAAGGGAAACCACTGTGTGAGATTCCTCACTCAGTGTTAACAATAAATATTTCCTGAAACATCTTCCTGCATTTTCAGTTTTGAGGTGCTTTCGAATAACTCTTGCCACTCACAAGGAGCCATGCTAGACAGTGCAATTTGGCTTACTGATGTGGTAAATACCCTGAAGTTGATAAATGGCAAATGGACCAGGTTACTGCTCTCCAGGCTGGCTCTGCCCACTCATTTTTGATAGATGGTCCCACAGATCTGCCAGCAAAGCTGTTGTGTTAACGCACTCAAACCTCTCTATCTCAATAAAAACGTAGGGTGAGTTAGCAGGTTAGATGGGTTAGAGACGCTGTCAACAGGGCACTCGTGTGATGGCTTTGACATCAGATTTCGGTGGTGATGAATTCTGAGGGGGACACCAAGCTGTGAAGGGCAGGATAGGGGTACAAGCTCTTCATGGCTGTTCTCTAAGCATCCATCTGTCATTATCCTCACTGCCCATAACCTAAGTATATGACTTTAAGTATGTACATGAGTTTGCAAACTGAAAGAGTGGACCTTCACCATCGCAACAGCTCATCTCCTCGCATCCTCTTTCAGGGACAGTATAAGCAGGAATAATTTTGTCTTTGAATTAGTTTTAGAGACTGTAAAAACCCATAGCTTTTGTCTTCAGGAAAATGGCATTTATGTACGTATTTTGCTATACTCACAATATTAGGAAAGCCTAACACTCAAAAGTAAAATTAATTTGGGGTTGATTAAAAGCCAGCTTCAATTATATGGGTACAGTTTTATACTAAAACTGACATTCTGCACCTGGAATTAACTGATCTTTCCCCTCTCTCTTTCATTTGTTCCTCTACTTCTCACCAAAAAATACTTTTTTCTTTCTATGAATTCTATTTCTGCAGAACAAGCTGTATATGACATTAAAGAGCAGTTGAGAGATTAACAGGAGCACAGCCCTTTAGAAAACCGGGAAGCCATTCCTCACCTCCCTTCGGAGAATACAATGGACCATGACAATAACAAAGCCTTGTAATGAATCAAATACTGCAAAAAGTATCTGAAATAATATTGATCTTTTGTCTGTCATGGCCAGAACTGCAGACATCCAAGTCAAGGCCAGAAGTGGCAACACCACACAGGAACTCCAAAGGGATGCCCTATTGAAAGAAAGAGAAAAGCAGCGCTGTAATATTGTAAAAAAAAAAAGACAAAAATTGATTAAAAGCTCACTATTAAAATAAAACATATTTAAGGATGGCACTTTATCAACTTAACTTGAAAATCAGAGACAAGAATGTAACAGTGTTGGTACTTTATGATCTAAAGAAAATCCTGCATTCAGTTAATAAACACAGTTGCAATCTTTCTTTTTTGTTGTTGTTGTTAAAAAGTATTTAAATGTGCTCAGCACTCTATACAGTGTTAGCAAACACAGTCGTCATCATCAAACTATTGTCTCACATGCACTGTATAAGATTTGTAACAAGAAGATGTAAATGATCAGGACTAACATGGCATTACTGGCGGTGGTGGCTGACAAAGCTGTTGTTGAAACTACTCCACACTTGGCACATTTGAGCGTCAAACCGCTATGAGGCTCACTCATCTGACTGCAAACAAACAGAACACCCACAAAAAGAACAGAATATTGAATTGTCACCAAAAAACGTTGCTACCGAAATTTAGCTTTTAAATATGACGTCATGCAGAAAAAGTAAGTAGACTTAATTCAGGATGAATGCTCTATGTTGTTGCAAAACCGTACTTGGTACTTTACATTATCGTTAGCTTTAAATGTTAACGCTATGGGGCTTATTTCATGCAGACTCTATTTCTTCCACTTTAAGCTAAAAAAGGCCCCAAATGTCCAGCGATCAAAACTGCTCAGTACACTGAAGTAAACATAAGCATGTGCTAGGAGAGACACACAAAGAGAAATCCCTCTATTCAGACCTGTTAAAACACCCTTGTATCCAAACTTACTTAAGAAAGAGTATGGGACACTTAAAGGAGGAGCATGAAATACGTAACATTACAGATCATTAATAGGGAAAGAAAAAAAAATGTATTCAAGCATCAAATCGGTATGGACATACAGTATAGTCAGATTTGTACTAGTGGTCCGGCTGGCCCACTAACATCTGGAGTGATTTTATCCATGCCATACGAAGGTCTGAATACAGGGCTTGGAATGTATGGAATCTGATGAAATAAATATCAGTTGGGACCAAAAAAAGGGTGACCTGTTTTGCATTTTAATAAAACACAGTACACAAGCATTAAGCTCAAAGCATTTTGCATGGACAATTTGTACCTCGGCACCTGTCAGAGGAGTTAAAGGGGAAAACCTGGAATTTAAATTTCCTTTTACACACAGCATGCATTCAACTTCCTGAGCCGACTGAGTAAAGACTTTTGCTATTCCTTCTCTTTCTGCTACAGGAATCAGGAATAACCACAGCTGACCGAGATGCAACGGGAAGATGCTTTACCTATCCCCAGCTGGAAAGTGGTTAACATGGTGAAGATAGGTAACAATTCAGTATTTTCCCAGTTATTTCAGCCAACAGAAAGCCTTTTTATTACCAAACCCAGCATTCACAAGATTTTTAACTGCCCCAAGAAACATTGAACTCCAGTGGTTTCCATTTCGATAAACCAAATGAAGACTTCCCATAAAAAGTGCAGTATATTTTCCATAAAAATGCATTTTTCTTCATTAAAAAAAACCAGTTTGAACCATGATCTTGTATAAGGTGATCGTGGGGTGTGAAAAGAGCTCTATGAAACCCCATCAGTTTGCATTAATTAAAGATTCATGTTAACGAATGCACTAGAAAAATACCCTGGGTAAACTTTACCTAAGCTTGGGAAAATACTTTCCAGCTTTGCTTGGCAATATTTCAACATTATCAGACTGGGTTATTTCCTTTACCTCTATAGATTTGTTCTGGATCCTAATAACAGAACTTGATGTGTAGAGCAAATAATAAAACTCAATGTGTATATAGACCAAACACATTTTTTCTGGCTGGGCATATATGTGTGCTACCCCTTATGCCAAGAAAATCGTTGATATCCATCAAGACACTTGTTGATTCTCCACATTCTTATTAAAGTGGAAAAAAAACAGTATGAAGTTCTTATGTTTTTCTCCATTCACTGCTTTAAATCCCACATAAATGATTTCTGCTGCTGAACTTCTGTCAGATATAAGTCCAATGTTTGCCAGAAAGATTGAAGTTGGCTTCCTGAGCATGGCTGGGGAGAGATATTTGAGAAATGAGTGGCAATCCAATGTCTACCGGAGGTCAAATGCTGCACCAATCTCAATACCACAAAGGACTCAAGACTCTTCATCGGCCATCACGTGAATGAGAGCAGATGTGAATTGGAATTGATGACTACTAAAGTATTTCTACTTCTGAAAAAATCTGGGTAGTTTTATAGTATTCTAGATTTCATCAGTGTCATTGCACAGTTAAGCATGTTGATGGAGCAAGGTTAGGAAAGTAAGGTTAGGAAATGAATACTTTCTATTGAAAAAAGAGGAAAAGGGAAAAAAATCAAAATGAAAGCTTTTGGCACGTGTTTTTTAGAATAATGGTGAAAGAGCCGAAAACCAGGAAGTTTTAATTGAATTAAGATTAAATGAAAATCACAGCAGCTGAAGTAGTTATCATAAATTTGCTCATCTAACCAATGAACTGAACTTATTAGGAAAGCTACTGTTAGTGAAATGGTAAAACATCTCAAAGTGAAGCTGTAGTAAATTTGCCCATAAAAATTAAATATACCAAAATAGAGATACCGTTGCTTATCACTGCTAGAAATGCAGATATTGGTGGTGTTAACTACAAGCTGGCCCAAAAGACAATACTAAAACATGTAGCTGTAAAAATTAATTATGCCAAGTTTAAATCTACTTTCATAAGCATTAAGAAGGTGATGATGCACTTGTGAAATATCTGTCTTCAGTATAGAATGAATCTAGGTCTGCTGCTGCAGTCAGCATCATTGCCAACCACTGAAAACCAGGTTCTGACACCACCACTCTCACGATCCTTTCTTCTCATGATAGCAAACAGCATTTGAATGTAAAACAAGTAAATAATAACACAGGATTTCCATTAACCGTGTTTTCTATTTTTTTAGCTTTTAAAACATCATTTTTTACTTTGAACTTCTATTATGCCAATTTAGAACATGTAGCTCTGTAGGCAGGGATGTAAGAACAAGGATAAATTATTCACATGGTCAGAATGGCAGAATAGCACTGACCTCAGTAAGGCATCTATTACTGTAAAATATATCTTATAACAGTTTACACAAGTGAGTAACGTTTCCCACCACAGTCATTAAAGTTGGCAGCGAGGCAAAAATCATCATTTCCTTCAGCACACATCGTTCATAAAATTGCTCTCTTAACTGCAACAGCTTTACACGTGTGACATTCTGGTGGAACCTCCACTCGGACTTGTTTAAGCCTTGTTGTTATTGACTTAATACTGTTGTACTTGTGTTTTATTATGTTTAGTTTGTTTAGTTGCATTCCCCCAGGATAATGCAACAGCAGCTTTTGGGATGAATGGAATCTGTTAGACACACTGTTACACTGATACCAAAGTTCAAAGCACAGCCGAAAGCATTTTTGGTGAATATCTGAAATCGAAAATTGGTGATAGGACTTTAATACGCTTTAAAATAACCCGATTGTTGCTTACCCCGCTCTGTGTTTGAGCTTTTTATCTAGGATTCCATCTCTGGAAACAAGTTTATTAAATACCAAAATGCCAATCACCATGTTGACCTGTCAAACAGAAAACAAACAGTTGATCTTTCAGTGACGGACAGCCTTATTTTTGAGTCTTGACTTATGCCTGCTATCAAGTTACATGCATTATCTGCTGACCAGGAGCTCGAGTAATATAGCTTTAATATTTCCTCAGCTCTAATTGCACTGACATATCCTGTTCCTGGAAAACCACTGCACTGGAGTTGTGTGCACAAAGAGCCCGTCAGAGCACACGATGACCGTAACCGTGGGCCTTTCCCAGCGTTTATGTTCACGTGGGTGTTCCCACTTCTGCAGAACCAACCCGTGGTTTTTGGTATCCTCCCGCACATTAGTCACTGCCTATGTCACTCCAAAAATGCCAGTCTTGAGTCCTGTTTAACTGCAGTTTCCTTTTTATTTGGGAGCCAGATGAATGCCTGGGGTGAGCCTGTTTAGCTCCATTAAAGTAAATGGTGTTATGATCACATACGTGGGTTGAAGACCTAGCCTAAAAAAAAATCCAAGTGTTTCAGCAGTCAGATTTGGCACTCAATGGACACACTAATGGCATTTAATGGACAACTTAATGACTGTTATTATCCATTTGTATTATTGAACTGAACTCTACGAACCAGTCTCTGCATGGCCTGTGAAGAGGTAATACCAAGTTTTGAATCTATTAAATAAATGTTCCTTAGGTTTTTTTTTAATTAGAAAAGGGTAATCCTTTCAAACAGATTTTTTGAGACCTGTGCCAAAACACCTAATTGCTGCCAGTCTGTCAAGCCAACTCTTCTCATTATCACTTTATTTTCAGCATTTACATTTTTCAGCTGATGTTATACAATTCTTTCGCGTCGTACACTTATGCTGAAGTGGCTGCACGGAACAGCTCCTTCCCCAGCTCGCAGCTAATGGCAGGGCAAACTGACTGTGAACTTCAAACGTCTCCCAACAAAGCTTGCCAATTACACAGAGAACATGCAGTTCCACGCGGAAATTACGACCGCCTTTTTTGTAAACATCCTTGGCTCCTCCATCCTGACAGGGACCGCGAGTTGTACAAAGGGATCCTGGCTTGGCTCCAGGCAACGATGAGACAAACTCGCTGGGAGTAGTAAACATCCATTTCAGAAAAATCTATGTGGCTAAATGGCTGTATCTTTGACGACTGCTAAGACTGATGCCCTTTTGCAAGGGAAAATTAGAAATAAACAGTGTTGATAGAGCTATCCTAGTATAAAATTGGTGGAGTGGAAAGAAGAATTAGATTCAAAATCTGTAAGGGAAAAATGCTAAACAAATTATTGTAAAAAGAATCCATACAGGCAGCACAGCAGATGACTAATAGCCGATGGCACAGGTAAGGCACAATCCATCTTACCCTAAAGTAGACACTTGAAATGTTTCTGATGGGTTGAGCCCTAGAAATGTGTACCTTTCTCCACTGACAATGAAAAATGGCTGGGATAACTGGCATAGCTGGAGAAATCTACACTGCAGATGTCTACCATTGGGCAAAGTGAACCTTACAGCTAAACACGGTCCCAGAGATGTGGAAGATTAACGCACAAAAGAGTGACATTTCCCAGCTATGACCACTTTTGTCTCTGGTTTTAAAACCAGTAGCCATGGAGGACTTGCTGGCTGGTCCCTCTCCTCCTGTTGCTTTTGCTGGCACAGTGGCCAAGCAGCACTGTCAAGGCTGTCACCAAACTTCTCAAAGCAGTGACAACTGTGTAGATGCTACTGATAATAACTCGGTGATGACCGTAACAAGTTTTCTGTGCAACTAATCAGTAAATTATACTTTCACAGCTTACTGTGTAAACATGGAGAGATAACTGATACAAAGAAGTGATACAATTAAATGAAGCACGCTTTCAAAATACTGAAAGTACGTTAAACAATACAGAGCTCGGTATTTACAGCAAAATGGATTGCTACTGTATAGCTGAGCTTTTAAAATTTAATAGAACATTCCATTGTTTTATATGAAAATACTGGAAATCATATCAATGTTTACCAAGACAACAGCAGCTGCAGGTCCAACGAAAGCATAAAGGAGCCCTCCTTCAAGAGACAGCCAACAGCTGGAAAGAACACGAGAGAAGAACTAACACAAATTAAAAATAAGTATAACACATAGCCAAGAAAACATTAATAATCACTACAGAATGAGATTCTCCCCATGTATGATCAATCCCACACATAGAGATTCACATGTACACATGAAAAGTATGACCTTGTTGATATGATAATGTAGAGAGCTGAAAGTTATTTCCATTGCTAATTGTTCATGTTTCAAAAATTTTCATGTGAATTGCACATACATTGAAATGCCTATGATGTATCCTGGGCACAATAGAAAAAGAGTTTGCAAATCTTGATCAAGAGATTGTTTGAATCTCTTCTAAGCACGTATGATGAGTGAACTGAACAGGACTTGCCAGGTAGGTATCTAGAAACATTTCCAGCTATCATATGTCTGACAGTTCAATAGTTACAGCAATGAAAGGTCAAGTACTGGTAACGCAGTACTTCAGAAAAACCAGATTTCTGCATATCTTCTTTTATGTCATTTAGCAATTGCTGTTAGAACTAGGTCTCACAGACACTATTGCCATTAATGAAAAATCATGTATGATCCAACCGTTCTGTATTCTCAGGAATATTTTGCAAACAATTTAAATGTGTATTTTAAAGCATCTGAAAACTGTATTTTCTGGCGAGTTAGTAATCTTGCGGCGTTTGTCATACCGCATCAGGGCTTTCACTGCACACCATCAGATTTCCAAACACTGAGGGCTCACAGAATCAAATACTGAGTGTTTGATACACCACGATGTATAGCTCTCCGTATCTGCAGAGGATCAGGAGCTTCACACACTGAAGTCAACGCAGCTGTGCTATTTTTCCAGTGATTACACATTCAAAGAACTGCGTGTTTGTTTGAATGCATGGTCACACCTACGTATCAGAAAACTCAAGTATATGCATCCAAGTAATTTAGAAACATCCACATCAGAATGACACAGATCTTCTTTATTTTCCAGTGCTGTTTTTGTACTTTTGAAAGCCAAGTAAATTAAATGCAAGTGCATCATATTAATGGTCTGTTATGGCTGGATTTCTAGCTGCGAAGAATAAAAGTGTTTCCCCTTGCAATGAAGGGATGTGAAATCCCCCATGTGAACCCAACTGCATCAGTGTGCTAAATCCTGCAGTGTAAATAGTTCATATTTGCTTCACTGTTAAAAGGGTAACACGTGCCAGGCTATTCCACATCCTGCCTCAAAAAAACAACTTCAATAATGTGAAATTAATTTTTGTAACTGCAAAGAGAAAATGCTTTTAAAGTTTTCTGCATTTTTTTCTTACTGTTTCTCTGAAGCCTAGGTTATTTATTGTAAGCGACTGAGAACATTGGCTTCTGAGAGGGAGGAATGTACTCACAGTCTATTTCCCTACCAGCATGGACTTTTAAACTCAGTGAAGATGACCGCTCTGCATAACTAAGACCTGTAATCAAAATCTTCATGTTTATTGCGAGACAGGAACACCAGTTCTTAAAAACTGTTGACGTATTCTATTTGAAGCATAATTTCAGTTACTTGTGCTGAAAAAAGGGCCAATTATTTTGTTTGTTACTTTTTTGGTCTGTTTTTTTAAACCACAAAAGCCTTAAAGACCAAGAGACAATTTTTCCCTCCCTTTCCCATGCCCTCAAGTAAAAAGGCTGTTCAAAAGAGGGATCTTCATTAAGAGGCAATATTAGGAAAAATGGTAAAGGTTATCCTCTTTTCCCACAAAAGTCTTAAAGACCAAGGAACAATTTTTCCCTCCATTTCCCATGCCCTCAAGTAGGCTGTTCAAAAGAGGGATCTTCATTAAGAGGCAATATTAGGAAAAATGGTAAAGGTTATCCTCTTTTCTCCACAAAATCTGAATTTCTAACAATCTGGCTTTTCAACAATGTATGATGTGATTATTGCAATGTACTCAATATCTGATAGTTTTTTGTGTTCAGTTCTGGGCCCTCAGGTCAAGGAGGACAGGGAATTGCTTGAAAGAGTCCAGCAGGGCCACAAAGATGATGGAAGGAGTGGAGCATCTCCTGCTGAGGAGCGGCTGAGGGAGCTGGGGCTCTTTAGCTTGGAGCAGAGGAGACTGAGGGGTGCCCTCATTCATGGGGATCCATTTGGAAAGGGCGAGTGTCAGGAGGAAGGAGCCAGGCTCTGCTCTGGGATGTCCAATGCCAGGACAAGGGGCAATGGTCCCAAGCTGGAGCACAGGAGGTTCAACCTGAACATGAGGAGAAACTTCTTTCCTGTGAGGGTGCCAGAGCATGGCCCAGGCTGCCCAGAGAGGTTGTGGAGTCTCCTTCTCTGCAGACATTCAAAACCCCTGGCCGTGTTCCTGTGTGACCTCCTCTGGGTGATCCTGCTCTGGCAGGGGCTGGACTGGGGGAGCTTTTGAGGTCCCTTCCAACTCTGTGATATTCTGTGATGACTCTGAAATGGTGCTTTTAAAATCATTTTCTCTTTCTGAAGACAGATTCTCAGGTGTCTTCTCACACTGTAAGGCAATTGTTGTGAATGTTTTCCTGTATTTCCTCCTTCTCCTTTTTTTTTCTTTACTCTGATAGCTTTTTTTCTGTGTTTTATAGTTGTTTTTATTTTGTTTTCCTCTTCTGTCTTCTTTCTCCCCGATCCCCACACAGCAGAAAGCCATATAAATTGATCAGTATTAAGAGCATCCACTGGTGGTTTTATGGGACCGTGTTACCTGGTCATAAAGTCCTGCTGAGTGATGAAGTATCTCTAGGCTTGCTCCCATGTCCTGTACATTTTGTGAGTTGTGTGATGCTCTCCAGGAGAATGGTTTCTTCTCTTAAAAGAGCATGACTATAATAGAATTTTAATTTTTGCTGATATAATGAATTCCTGGAAGTTATCTGCACTGCTCATTAATATATAATACTGTATGTAAACTTGCGTAGGTTTAGCAACTACTACTTGTAGTAGTGGTGCTTTCATAGCTGTGATCAACTGAAGAGATGTAGCAACAATATTATACTTACAGAAATAGTTGTAAAAAAACAATTAAGCTTCTGGGTGCATAATTATTTTTCAGATACCCTGAAATATCTAAAAGCTCATCACTGTGCTTTCTTTATTATTTTTAGGATATCCCTTCAGCATTTGTATCTGTATCAGTACAAGTGTCTGTGTGAAATATCTTTCACATGTAGTTTTAGATGTACAGTAATACAATTGGTAAATAGGACTGAAAGAAAAAGATAGAAATCAGAGATTGTTGATCACAGAACTGCTTTTAGTGTGGACAATTCATGCCAGCCTCATATCCTGTATGAAACAGAGCTGCTTCAGAGATCCTTGGGCCTTCTCCCTTTCCGTTGACCTCTTCATGTGTGGGACTATGGAATCAATTCCTTCATTTTCACTCTTAATTTTCTCCATTTGAAGCAGCCATTTTCAAAAACAACATCATGGAGCAGGAATAGTTTGCAACAGGACCCATTTCTGATGGCAGCACGTGTGTAACTGATTGCAGTCAAACAGGCCCAATTAGCATAAGCCGTTAAAAAACTTCCATGAGCGCTTTAGTTTTGCGGAGAGGAGCAGGACAGGGGCTCTGCCTTCACACCACGCAGCTGTTGTTATGAAACACGGCTCTTTGCTGGCTTCTGGAGTGGGACATCAGCCGCTGATGGAGGAGGAATCTCCACTCCTTGCGTTCCCTGTTTTCCTTATGTAATTCTGATGTCAAACGCCAGGAAAATGTATTTGCAAATTAGGCGAGAAAGCTGCATTATGGTTCTGTTTGTCCCTTGTACGCCTCCTTTTGTGCTTATGTCCCATGGCACCACGTCAGCGGAATTTGGATCCCGGGAGAGGAGCTGTTACATGGACCGAGACCTGCTCTTTTGTACTTTCCAGGTTAGCCTTAATGAATGATTTGTTGCTTTGCCTGAATATTTCAGGATATCTTCTTTAAAAAATTCATCCAGCCCAGGAAGGAAGCAGGAAGCAATACTAAATAAGCAAGCAGTCACTCATGAATAATTTCAGTAGAGTAAATGCAATGGGATTGATCCTGCAAGGGACAGACCTACATCCTCACTGGAGCCGGTTGTAAGCTTCGGATTTGAGATTCTCACAGCCTAAGTGGTTATCCAGTCCTGCTTCAAGGACTAAATAATAAAAGAGCCAGCACATATATTTTCAGAAGAATGTCAGAGGAGCAGGTCCTCACCATAACTCCCTAAAGGTGTCTAAGACCAGTGTTTCACTAATGATTGCCAGCTGCAAGTGCACTTCAGTTACATAAACCATTTCCCACTAAAGAGCTCAGTGGTTAGAGCTGATATTTAGGAGATTTGGGTTTGTATCCTTACCCCCTCAGAGCCAGAGCAAGGGTGTGAAGCCTCCCCCACCATGAGCCCAGAGAATGGGACACACAGGGCAGGGAGGGGGAATCCTGATCTTGCTCAGCGAGGATGCGAAAGAGAATAATTAAATATTCATTGAAGTGAGGACTTGACCTAACTCATCCTCATCTCTGATGAATGCCCTCATTACCAGCCTACAGAGTCATATTTCCTCTCTTTCTGTCCAGATGCATACTTAATTTCTCAGGCAACGTGAGGAGAGCTCCAAACAGGACGACTGAAGGAAAAGCCCTCTCGTGTACATCGCGTCTGGGTGGTTGGAGCAGTCTGGGGCTCAGCCCAAGCTCCTTCCTCAGCAGGAGACAACCCAAGGGCAGCCTCGCCAAGGAGCGAATTTTCCAGGTGCTAAATACAAAATGTAACCAGCCAGGAGGCTAAACAGGAGCTGTATTAATAACATGTAAATAAAGTGCACAGATCTCCTCCTTGCTGTGTCTCAAGTACAGCCCAGTCCAGGAAATGGGCTGGATCAGGCACTCCAGGAGAGAGGGGATGGATGGGAGGCCTATTTTGAGATTTCTACAGGGCTTTGGCTCCCAGCACCTCAGGGGCATTAAAGCCAAATTTCGTGCTATGTGGGCAGATACCTGGGTGCCAAATTGATTCTTGCCAGTTGAGACATGTTGAGGGGTTTGGCAAAGCCCAACCACACATTTACGTTTCTCTTTGGTAAATGCATATAAATTTTAGGTGTCTAAGCGGACCTAAGCTTCAGTGTTCCTAAAAGGCTTGCTACTTCAAAATCTCACCGGAAATCCAGCATCCTGGACTGTTTTGGATCCTTCCCTAGCGCTGTGCTGAGCTCAATCCAAGACTAGCATATGGTTTTCTTGTTGATCTTTTGTGGATCACTCTTAAGGCATTTCCAAGTGTGAATGGATACCTGTAGGGCCTTTAGACCATGCTACGTAACTCCTGATGGGTATGACAGGCTTGTAAACGAAAAACAGAATTTATCATTTCAGATTGACTTACTAGTGGGCTGTTCCATATCCTTTTGTCTTGGTAAAGCCTATTGATATTGCAACCACCAGTGCTGGTAAACCTGAAAAAACCCAAAACAGTAATAACCATTAGATGCTGAGGAAAACATCGCTTTCTGCCTGGACAAAAGATGACAGGGCAAGCTAATGCAAAATGGCCAATTTTACACGAAATGAATCATTTAATGAGGCACAGCGCTATTGCAGGATTTGTTTTTCCGAGGCACTGGCAGGGAGGAGGACACTGTTTTCTGCCCACGGTGTACCAGGTTGATGTAGATAAATTACTGGTACATCTGACAGGTCGTAAAGTGAGCTGGGAAGAGGATTCATCAGTATTCAGTGACTGCTATTTCTGTTTTTATTTTGATTTCTTGATATTACACTGCTTCGCTGAAAATCTCCTAAAATTTTGCTAAACCATATTTATAAAAGAATGCTGAAATATTTACCAGCATAGCTTAAGGTAAAGTGGAGAGGCTCCTAAGCTAGCCTTCTTTTTAGTGCTGTGCTGTCTACTGTCTTTCAGGTTTACTGAAGAAAATTATGATATTCTTGACATGGCCACTGCATTAAACGTTTCATGCCAGCGATCCTGAGGAAATGAATTTTACGGACTTACCCCATCCAAGGCACAGGAAGCGTTTCCTTATGAGCCGTGTCCTAATTTTTCCAGTAACAGCCATATACGACTGCCACGCTTCTGTCAAAACCCAACAGAATGAAGCTAAGAAGAAGAAGTGTAAAAATGCGGTGGTTGTGGTGCAGATGCCCTGCAGGGAGCAAAGAGAAGCTCATGCTGAATACTTAGGGACACTCATTTCTCTTTTCAATTCAAAGAGTTGTGATATTCTATCATCTTGACCTTTATTCTTAGCATCAAGTCCCCCTTTATGATCTGGTTACCACAGAGAGAAGAAGAAAGAAAGATGTTGATGTGGATTTAGGCAGAAAAGCTTTTGACCGCTCCTGCAAACACTGAGTGTGCAGAGCAGGGACAAAGAGCACAAAATAAACCACGCCACCAGATTTTTCATGCTCTGCCCAGAGATCGTAACAAAGCCGTTGTGGTAAGCAAGTTACAGACTCACTGATTAGAAAACCTCACAGAGCTGAATACAGAAAATGGGGGGATAGAAATGCTCCTAATTGCTATTTACACTTTCTGTCCCTCCATGCAGAAAGGCCCTGACTGTAAATGTGAATTTAAGGCAACAGACTGTTTGATTCTATCTGGTGTTTTGATTTAAATCTTAAAGATGCTTAATTTATTGGAATATACCGCGTGAGGTCTTTTTAGTCAGGTTTAAATATCATAACCTTAGCAATTACTCTGGATATTGTTTTTCTGGGTGTCAGTCATTTGTCATTTGAGAAGTCCTTAGAGTGCATGCAGTCAGCTTTCTTTTGTCACTGTAGCCCTTAATTAAACTTGACGTTGTGGCTTATATAAATGAGCTTCTTGGCATAAATGATGATCTACCCTCCACTGTGTTGCTTAAAATGCCCGTTGCAGGTTATAAAATGCAGTGTGAATTGTACCCCAGAACCAAAACCATACCAGTGATGTCGAGAGTACCCTTATCACAATTTGAAGTGTCACCATTACATCAAGGTTACAAAAAGAAGTTCACACACCCAGTATTAACAATGAAGATCATAGCTGAGAAATGTATCTGTTATTTTTATGACTATTTCTTTACGCAGCATCTGATAACTATCTTACAGGCATGTAATGAAAGTCTTTTTCTTTAACTGAAATCCCAGTTAAGCAAACTATTTAGGGAGAAAATATGCAAGTGCCTAATTATATATAGATGCTTGCACATATCGTTGAATCGAGGCTGGTAACTACAAACATTTGGGAAGGATGAGAATATATGACACCCCACGTGGTTCATTTTATATTCCTAATTACTTCCAGGTCTTCCTGTTCTGAATTTTCTATTGTGTTCATTTTCCCAGCTTCTTACCTGAAACCCGTTGTGTTGGTTTGGTCCAATAATGATCTCAAACACATATCTGATATCAACCTCTGAACGTTCAAAAAGTTATGCACTTGAGTCAAAACTTAACGGTTTCCTGCTATGAATTTACAGATGTGACAAACACCTCGTTTCCTAATCCTGGGTCAAATTGTCAATTTAAATCTGAAGGAAGAGGGCTCTATATGATTATACTCAAGAAAACTACTGTTTATTTTAAAAAAAGCAAAGATTTTAAACTAGAAAAGAGCCTAAAAATGCACTAGTCATCCCATCCTAGATTTTGTCATTAATTCTTATGTTTAGACGTCCCTAAAGTAGCTGCAGTCATAAAATCTATCCTGTTAAAACCTTGACTGATAGCAGTATTTTCTGTATATGAAAAAGCAATACTTATTTAAAATGAAAGCTACGCAGTGAAACGCACAATAAATACAATAGAAAACAGGGAAACGTCCTTTCTTTTTCGAGCTGGCTTACATGTTGTGAACTCCCACTATGCAACCTTAATTTGCTTTCCTATAAATGTTTTTGTAAAAGCTAACGTGTTTTGCTGGAATGAGGACTTGACAACAAAATTACTTCTGAGGAATAGTACAGAACCTTTTAGGGAGAAACTGCATAGGTAAAACACGGTATTACCTTGAAAAAATGGGCATATACTATTTCCCTTTATAAATAATGCGAATACAAACAAACCCTGATCTTTCTGGTGAAATATTTTTTAACTCTTATGGCTGAGTGAGTATGGACTGTAGGATTTTGTTCATAATTTATCTCCTGTATTGAAATAAAGATAGCTGGTGATGATCTGATACAAATGTGGCCATGGCTGTTGTGGAAGAAAGACCCGTGATGGAAATGTTAGTGATGACGTTGATCACAAAATGAGGAGACAGAGGGAAGTTTTATCAGAAATGATGTGTGCTCTGGCTGGAATCTACGACTGCTGATTATAATGAACTCTCCTGAACGGCAGACAGGGGTCTTTGATGAACGCTGATGCTAAATCTCACTGATAGACCTGTGAATTTGCATCATGTACCATCAGAACGATGCAAATCAGCCCCAAAACATCACCTAAGAACTGCTGAGGGGTTGTAATGACAGCATGATGTGGAGGCAGTGCCTGGAGTGAATTCAGGCTCCCTCCTTCCCCAGCCCTGGCAAAGGAAACTCCCCTCTCCCAGGTATCGCCATGGGCTCAGCATGGTTGACCAATATCCCCCAGAAATTTGGCTTTTGTGTACTTCTGTATCCTTCCCCTTTGATAAACAAACAAAGAAACAGCGCTGTCCTGTCTGGGAAAGCACTATATCTGGGAAGTCTATGTCCAAATACCAACAAAAATTCACTTTCACTGAAGGTGGAATTAAATGGGGCATTGAACACCTCTAGCCAGAGAGCTATAATTTTATCAAATACTTTATTAGTATTTTTTAATACTAATACCAGGTCATGGACTGCTCCCGATCTCTCCTTCTCCCTCTCCTCTTCTCCAATGCCAAGGGACGACCACCTCCCCTCACCTTAGCATCTCCAAAACCTCATAGCCCATCACAGAAAACCACAGTGTGTCAACCTGTCCTCACCAAGAGGTCGTAGTACACATCTTCCCCAGTGCTTTAGGAGGAGATGTTCCTTATTTGTTTCTAATTCTAGTTTATTAAAACTCAACTGAATTAATTACCTGTGCTGAGCACCTGTCAACTTGCAACAAAATGAATTTCAACAGCCTAATTTATTCACTATTTCTTCAAGCTTCGGAAATTAAGTCAGCTCTGTTACTCAAACCTCCTCTTCCTCCCGTTGTTGTTGTCCTCAGCTCCCCATACTTAATTCTAATTGCAAATGGGGGAAAGGAGCTCCTGTTAACGCGCAATTTCATGAGCTTTAATTGATCCTCAACTGTTTAGCTACCTTGAATATCTAAGTAAGGCCATTCATCCCTTTTTAATAAACAATACACTATTGAAGGCAAGAGCTCACATCAGGTATCAAATTATTTCCTTCTTTCATTCTTGTAAGACGCCAACTCTGAATGAGGACACCGAAGCACTGCTGAGAAATGTAAAAAATGGTGCAAATTCAAAGCTACTCATTCTCGCAATTAAGATTTTGAGTGTAATAACGATGAATAATGTACAGAACGTTTGTCCATTCTTATGACCTGCTTTCTGCATGAGTGCCACCTCAAAATAATAATTTATCGTTATTTTTGGAGCATCTGGATGTTGTGGTTGGTTGTTTTCTGGTTGGTTTTCTTTTTGATAGAACAGTGCTTCTTTTTAATAGCAGTGTGAACATATATTCCACACAAAAAGGCTTAAGTAAGGACACCTGATTTGTCTTCTTGCCCTGAAAAAAGGTGTTTTCCTTTAACAAACTGGTTGCCTGTCTCTGGGTTCTGATATATAGAGGATAAGAAAGCTACCGGGAAATGAACATGAAAAATGAAATCTATATTGGTGACAGTGAAATGAACAGGGCTAAAATCCACTGAGCTGGATTATGTCATGCAGTAGAAATGAAAGCTAATAGAAAATCATTTAAATAATAAAATTTCTTGGAGATTAAAAACAATCTCGCCCTTGATTTAGCTCAGAGGAGATAAGCCTGAGATAAATTCAACGGGTACTAATTTTATTCTTAGGAAGTTTTGACCATGCCCCGAATATACAAGCAAAGAACACCTACAGACCACAATAAAGAATAAATGAAACAAAGAACAACAACGAGAATGCAAAGGATGTAGAAGAGAGCAGAAAGACAATTCTAGGTTAAAACTGGTATATGTTATCGACCTCTGGTGACTCTCAAGTCCTCAACTATACAACAGTTTTTCTTTTTTAAATTAAAAATATAAATGCCTAAAGAATCATACTACTTACTATTCTTTATTTGCTTCTTCATTATTTTTTTATTTTTAAATTGATTTTCGCAATACAGTACCTCTGTTTCAGGAATGGCAGAATACAGGGACACAGTGTACTGCTCAGATAACACTGAATTCGAGATTCAATAATTAAATACTAATTTCTAGAGTAAACTGCCATAAAATAGTGGCT